GTCCAAGTCAAGTCCAAGTCGTCTGCTTTGATCTTCAAATCATTTCAAGTCTTTAAACCAAAGTACTAGATTTTTGCAATTTTTATAACTTTTAAACTAAATTGTACTTAAAAAGTCATGGTATATTTATATATGTATTTATATATTTCCTATTTAAATAGAAAGAATTCTGATTTAAAAGTGCTTAATAAGTTATTTTATCAGGTAGTCTGCACTGAAATGGAAGGATCATGTTTTTTGTAGTTCCTAGTTTTATTGTATTGTAGTGTATTTTACTGCAGTATTGGAGTATACCACATTGCAGTACTTCAGTTACCTCGAAAGTACCAAACAGAAGCAGGAGGAACATGTTCCAGTTTGTTCCTTTGGAGAAGCATAAAGTCTTCTCAAGTCACAGGCCTCAAGTCTGAGTCAAGTCCCGAGTCAATGACCTTCAAGACCAAGACAAGTGCCAAGTCTTAGACCATTTTATCAAGTCAAGTCTTAAGTCCTAAAAATAGTGACTCAAGTCTGACTCAAGTCACGACACAACTTGCAAGTCCCCACCTCGGCAATGTTCAATATAATCCTACACTTTCTGACACCGGCACTTCCCAATTTTAGTAAACGTGAGCAGACAGTATAATCTAAAGAGCTCCTCCCTGTTTTTAAAATCCACACCTTCACCAGCGTTCTTTAACCAATCCAATCCAGTCCAATTAGGCCTGTCTTGATTAGTACTATGCCTATTTATCGTTCAGTATATGCAAGCTGGAATTATATTTTTGGGGATCAGTATTTATTGTGTGAACTGTCTTCGCACTACTGGGAAACTTTTGGTTATTTTTTTGGCTATATGATAAGATTAAAGTCGTGAAAGATTGAATTCATAACTTAATGGCTCTTGAGTTGGGTCAGTGACATAAATTAGTTTAAATCTTATCATTTATCGTCTATATTTACTTCAGCAATATATCACACTTCAAAATTTGTTATCGTGCCAGGCCTATATCCAATCTCCACTGTGTACTTAAGCTATTTATTTTTTTAACTTAAGAAAAATTACTTTATTTTTTAATGTGCTGGGAGACGCCCGTCGTAACCATGCCAGATACTGGACTGAGCCTGAATAATGCACAATGGTGGACCTTTAATTACATCCTGCTGAGCTGGGTATAAAAATGAGGACTTAACCCTTAAGTGATTGTCTTTACACATACGGACTTTTACTGTGATGCTTTAATGTGATGAATTTTTCAACATTTGGCCGATACTGAAGCGTCTGGCAGTTAGCTTTGATCACTGCGCTGCCCTGATCTCCACTGTGTACACGACCGCACTATATTTCACTATCTAATCATTACTGCTCCTGATGAGGCTGAGTGAATGCCCTGAGAACAGACAGCTAGTGCATGGTCCCGACTGTAAATGATATAACTTCAATTATTCGTAAAAGTGCGCTATAGATTTATTCAGTTATTAGATGTGATTTTAATCTTTTTGCATTTAGTGATTAATGTTCGACGCTTCACTGGTAAAGGACGCCTCTCCAATGAGTAATTATACTCCATTTTAATAATTTATTCTGCAGCAGGCTTTATAAGAGAAGAAGAAGAAGCCAGACTGTTTTAGGCATTTATCATGGAGTGTGCTGTCTTATGGTATATCCACGCTAGCAGCTACTACGCCCAGGGGCATGTCAGCTTTGCAACTTAATTAAGCAGGATGCTTTCACTTAAAGTTGTTGTGCTTAAAAATGTTACAAATGGCCTCCAGCCAGCAAGAATTTCTCAAGATGAACTTTTTCATTTTCATTCTCATTTCAGAAGGTCATTTTGCAATGCCAAGGATTTCTAAGCAACAAATATATATGCTCTTAAAAATAAGTGCTAGTCAAAGAAATTATATTTTCTTAGCACACAGATAAAGGTGCAAAAATTGCTTATTACAGCTACATCAATCTGAGAGAGCGTGCATGAAATCTGTTTATTTTACAAATATAGTCTTCTCTCATTCAGCGGAGATATATTTGTATTACTATATTTCTATATTTTATATTTACTTGTACATATACATTTATATTATGCCTTATTTGACACCATTCTCTTGCCATTTATATATTTTTTTACTCTTTGTTATCATATTATATTGTGATGTGTGAGCTAATGTGTCCAAATAATTTTCCTTATGAATTAATAAAGTTTTTCTAAGTCTACCTCCTCCGTAGCAGCAGAATCAGCTGCCTCAGACTCTCCATCTCCTCCTGTCAAATCTGTTGGTCTCCACTGATCAGCACTGTCAGCTGTACATTTCTCCATAAAATAGACGTGTTCATTTTTTATAAAGTTGAAGGAAGCCTTGAAAGTTTGTGTGTTGTTCTCAAAAGTGCAAGAGGTTTGTTAAGCTCTGTCAAGGTTTTTTCGAGCAGGGCTAAAAGCAATATGTTTCTTATAAAGAACTCTTGCTAAACCACTGCACATGTGCACAAATGTATTTATTTTTTATATTAAAATGTAAAAATAAGACGCTTAACCCCAGGGATTAAAGGTCCTGTATTACACAGAATTTACTCTTCTCAGCTTTAAGCCATGTTAGAATGTTGCAACCTCCTCAAAAACATACCTGGAGTTGTGTTTTGTTTCATTCACACAAGTTTGAGTAACACTTTATTCCTGAGGTGAAATTATCCAAATGATTCTTGTGAAAGTGTATGGAGTTTAAGGGCCTGTTGCTTGCGGGTAATAACGTCAAAATATTTTATCGGAAGTGCCTTTTGTTTAGACGGTGACGGTGTTTTTGGGGCTTAAAAACTCAAAAATCTGAAGCCACCCTCCAGAATGGAAAAGTTAAATACACGCCGCTGTAGCATTTCCGTCTGCACTGCCCAAGACGCAAAACTCTGGTCAGATCTGCTCACATCACGTACGCGTTTACATCACCACCTAGCCTCACCAACGAGCCGCCCGGCATGCATATCCAATCGAATTCCACACACTTTTGCGTCACCGTATGCACGCAGATTTCCTCCCGAAAACGCTAATCTGAACAATAAAAAGTGAAGACGCAACGCTGCTTTTGCGTCTTCTGTTCAGACCCTCATCATATAAACGTAGCCTAAAGCACAGTGAAGCATTTCCTGTATTACTAGTGTTTTCTATTTGAGAGAAGAACTAAAACTAAGCTTAAATATACAGGGCTTGTGCATTAAACATGTGAATGAAACAAAACACACAGATATGTTTGTCACGAGGAAACAACATTACAACATAGATCAGAAAATATATAATATGGGCCCTTTAAGTCAAGTTTCAAAATAGCTTTCATGCATTTTTATCTTTCTCCTGTAAGTGAACAACAGGCCAACTACCATCTGACAGCTGCATTGTTTTGCTCAGCTGTTAAATGTGTAAATACTGATCCACATTGACGGGTAGCCCACTCACTTGTCTCCATGGAGATCTTATTGCTATACCTGAGTGCATGGCATTAACCTGATTTATGTAGGCTATAGCATTTATTTTATTACAAGTGTTTTTACTGCTGAAAAATACCTTAGTATACAGATCTCTCCTGTGTCCTAGCCCGGTGGTGCCAGCTGCTCGTCTCCATGAAGATAAATATGTTTAATACCATACTGTGAAACATTTTATAGGCAAATTAATAACATCTCCATGGAGTCAAGCAGGTGGCATACCTCAGTCAGAATATTTATACTCTTGTGCGCTTTAAGCCATGTTTTAATGCTGTTACCTTCTCAGAAACAGACCTGGAGTTGTGTTTTGTTTCATTCACACAAGTTTGAGTAATCTTTTATTATTAGTCTGTCTACATCTCCAAAACTGAAAATGCTTTGTTCCACCTTGTGATGTCATGAAGTGGTAGTTTTGTGAGCTTTTTCACTTAAAAGTATTAAAAAGAAGGAACTGCATAAGCCATGATATGTTACTTACTTTACTACATAATAAATAACTGTTATTGAGCACATTAAAATAAATTTAGTTTGAATATGGCAGTAATGATTCACACTGAAGACTGGTCAAGGTATTTAAAAAGGAAAAAACTATGTATGTACAATTCTGTTAACCCCTCCAAAATATCGCAACAAATATCGTACCGTGAGAGGCATAATTATTGCGATAATTATCTCACAGTGAGAGGAATATCATGATAATTATCACACAGTTAAAGGCATATTGTGATATTTATCGCACAGTGAGAGGCATATCGTGATAATATAGTACCATGAGAGTCATATTGCAATAATTGTCATACCGTGAGATGCATATCACGATAATTATTGCAGAGTGAGGGGCATATTGTGATAATATCATACTGTGAGAGGCATATCGCGATAATACCATACCATGAGAGGCATATGGCAATAATTATTGTACCGTGAGATGCATATTGTGATAATTATCATACCGCAAGAGGCATATCGTGATAATTATCACACAGTGAGAGGAATATCGTGATAATATCGTACCGTGAGATTTGGATATTGTTACATCCCTACTAATTACAGGTTTTAACTTATCCAAATGATTCTAGTGAAGGTGTTTGGAGTTTAAAAACACAGTGGAGCTCTTCCTGTATTACCACATGACATCACAAGGTGGAACTGAGTGTTTTCTTAATCTAAATATGCAAGATGTGTGTATTAAACATCACATCACATTATAACAAATCTCAAAATAGTGTAACATGGTCACAGCATGCAAGCTTACAATATTCCCTTTTTTGTTTTGAACAGCAATTATCATTAAATAAAATTGCCTGCATGCTACATTTTATACATATGTTTTTATACATACGTTGGTAAAAACTTATTTATAAAATCAAATCGACATTCCTGTATCCAGCTACCCAAGTGTGCTAGTCCTTTAAAGTCATATTAATTGCTGCTGTTGCCTTCTGCCTGTGTGTCGTAAATACAGTCCCTTGCCAACAGTCTAATTATTCTGCTGGAGGACAGACTTACGGAGGAACTAATTGTATTTGTGCCATGCTCTCTGCTTCAGATGCCCCGGAGACCTGCCCCTCCCGCGTCAGCACATGGGCCCATGGCAAGCTTCCAAAAGAGCCATCTACCTGAGAAGAGATTACCCAGGTGAGGAATAACATGACACAAAACCCATGTATTTGCTCAAAGAGGATCTGTTAGTTTAGCATTTTTCTCCCCCAGTTTTCAATTACCGCGACTCGCTTGTGGGCTTATATACGTGGGTTGACAGGAAGAAAGTAGAGCAATTTGCAATACTTGTCTAAAATGAATTCTCACTGCAAAAAAATGAATCTAAAATGAGATGTAAAAATGTTTAATTTGACAAGCTCTGGAGTAGGTTTGAATTCAGGTAAGGCAAGCTTGAAATTGCATGATTTACTCTTTTTTCAATATGTCATAATCAACATAAATAAAAACAATATGGATTTTTTTTTTCAGCTCTGAAAGCTGATGCCTTACTGTTGTGGCCAGGAATCGATATTTGCTGATATCATTATTTTAAAATCCATGGAAAGGGCTGTGAATTTAAGTATTGTTGTAGACGGTAGTAAGTTCACTATCTAACTTTTTGTACTTTTTATCATGATTGTGCTGCTACATCTTTAGCTATTTTTGCTAGTGTCTCCTAATTACAAATAGAAATAACATGAGTCCTTTGATCGATACTGATTTACAACATAACCGATATTACCACCAATCACCCATTTCCAGTTGCTCAGACTGGCAACCTGTAGGGAGTACAGATTACAGGGCCAAAGGAAAAAATGCCAGAGCTGAATTTTATTCCCAGTTCGACCCTGTCCAGTAGTAAAAACTGTCAAGTCTAAATGCAAAACTATAAAGGGAGGTACACAGCTTTGTAACATGTTCAGTGAGAATTTTAACACGATCTGCTGTGTATTATTTTGTGTAATTGCACCATGGATCTATAATAAGAACTGGAAATGGCACTCCCACTCTGTCAAAATTGACTAGTGGCTGCTCTGAGGTACTGCAGCTCCCACAGAGCACATGGCATTTTTTGTGAAATCAAACTGCTCGTGTTCATCTGATTGGGCATCTACAGCTTTCACAAAGGTCTGATTTTGTAGGGTTTTTCTGTATTTTTATAATATGAACTGTTTAGAATATTTAAATTGTCAAAATGCTTAAAAACCTGAGTCCACGCTATTAATTAACTTATTAATATTTTATAGTATTGTTTTAAATATTTGACATTTGGAAGGAGAATGTCAAGTGATTTGTCTATGTCAGAAACTAGCCTTGCAGTCCCTTCCTTTGTTTAAAGTTGAAGTAACATAAGCTGAAAAAGTAATAATAACTTAGCCACGTGAATTTAAATTACTTTGTATTTCATTTCTTTCTTTCTCTGCTCAGTGAAGAGGAATATGGAGCACTTCAGCTAACTGTAACAATAGAACATTAATTGCACTTGGTTGGTTTGTTAGTTGGAATGTGCAATTACAGTTACTTCAGTTGGGCTAAAGCGGGCTTTCACACTTAGCTTTAAAAATATTTTTCTTTGTCTTATTACTTATTATATGCTTCTACTGACATCTGATTTATCGACCTCATTAGAAGTTAATTACAATTTTCTTCTCATAAACTAGACCCTCAGAATATATGCAGCATAATATTGTGAAAAAACCTTACATGTACAATGGACATTTTCCACACAAAGCATGAAGACAGACTTAATTCATGAACAAATGCTTTCTTACTAGTTTATTAAAAGTGCTCCCCCAAAGTAACTACTTAATGAAAGAGTTTGGGTTAGAGTATGAGTTAAAGGTGCATTATGTAACTTTTTGTTCTTGCTTGGCCTAAAATGTTCCTATATCCATGGAGACAAGCCACCAGGCCGAGTTACAGATCATATCTCTAGAGAGAGGCGACCATGCTCACAGTAAGAATCCATGTTTTTTAAGCTTTTTTTTTTTTTTACCAATACAAACACCTGTAATTGAATAAATGCAGTGTACAATGCAAAATATATGAAACATTCCAGGAAAATCCATAACATTTCCATGGAAACAAGCAGGTGACAGATCCTCGACCAGAAAAGCTACACAGTGCACCTTTAAGAAGTGAATAATTGTTAATAAACTATTTGTTCATTATGAATTGAAGTCTCAGTATGCAACTTTTTAACCAACAAAATAAATTAAGATAAAAGTATTTGGTTGAAAGAGTCTGTTGATGGTTTATGGACTTTAAAACTGTGTGGGAGAAGTCTGTATGTTTACCTGTGACGCAACAATCTGGGCAAAATGCAAACGGAGCATTTTTGAAGAGAAGACTGATGTGAATGGATTCATGAGACAAGTGTTAATGAATTGAAATACAACTTCAGGTATGTTATTGATGAGGGGACAACGATATAAAATGGGCAAAAGCTCAAACTTGACATAATTTGTGTCCTTTAAGTCTGTACTCATGTTAAGTGTTATTGGATTCTCTTCGGTTTATTCTAATACTCACTCACATTGACCGACCTCTATGTTGCCTTTCCTTGCAGAAGTTCACCTCTTTACTTTATGGTTCATCAGAGTCACATATTTTAATAATGCATAGGCCGATCGCATGTAAATGATGAGTGATGTAAGTCGCCCTTGCCTGGATGATCCTATGAATTATGTAGACTGCGGCAAGATCCCAGGGCACCGGACTCTTCTCTTTTCTCCCTCCCTCCTCCCTCCCTCCCTCCTTTTTAATGTCCACTCTTCTTTTCTTTCAAACGTAAATATATGTGCCATCACGCCACTCTTCCTCCTCCGAGACTCCCTTTTGCGCACCGCTTAGATTTTCTATTTACTTTTTACTGCTTTGTCGTCTCATCCTACTTTCATTAAGAGCTCCAATGCCTCCTCCTTTGACCAATTCCTTTTTTTTGAAGAAATTATTCACAGTTATTTCCTTCCTGTCTGAACTTCCAGCTTTACCCGTGGATTTCAGAATGAGGGGACTGTTGCCGTCGCGATTAACAATTTAAAACAAAGCATTAAGTATTTTGAATAGGAAAAAGTAACAGGAAACTCATAGCTACCAAGGTCATACATAGTGGAAGTTGGTCTCTCCATTGCAAACTACTGTATATACATTCATAATAGAAAGTCCAGTAATGGCTTCCTGCTTGGGTTGACCCATGTCCATATTGGCTTTTTATGTGTTTGCGAAAGTACGAACAAAGAGGTCAAAAAGGTGGAATATTTCTACTATATAGTTCCCTCCAATCTCCGAGCGCGCTTTTCATTGCAGATATATTGAAGGCCCAAGAGGATTGTACACATAGCGTTCCTTGTTATGGACTTTTATTCAAATGAAATGAGTTCAGGTGACCCTCTGTATTCTCCACGGACAGTTGCAGGATCACTATATCATAGAGCTTTTTTAACAGGCAAATGAACGGCAGATTTATTCATAGCTGCTTTAAATTCACTGCGCAGAGTCATAGGCGGAGGTACAATAAGGTTTCTAATTTGACATCTGCATAGAGACGTGATTAATGTAAGGATTTGTTCAAGCTACATATCATTCTGTCACCGTGGAGATTTAGAAAGAAGACAACTTAGTCTTCCAATGATGATGGATGAAAATAAATACTGGGAATTAGGCAGGAGAAGGAAAATGTATTACAGGAGAGAGACTATATTGTAGGTAATAGAGCTTGAAGCTGTTAGCACTTTCAGGAATAAATAATAATGTATCCATTGTCTGAAACTTTATGTTGGTTTAGCTGATTCCATTTTTTAAAAAGTATTTCTTGTTCTGCTCTAATGATATAAATACCTCTAAAAGCCCTATATGGTACATTTAAAGGAGACATATTGTGCTTGTGTCTGCTTTTATAATATATGACACCCGTGGATGTTTATGTTATAATTTGGACATTTTAAATCATAATATTCATCCAAAACTAATAAAAGAAGCAGGACTGCAGATTTCCTCAATGGAAAACTACGTTGCCCAATGGGAGCTGACAATGACAGCTGCAGATCATGCTTTCAAGTTGTTGGTTTTTTTATTTCATTTGTACCAAAATGACTGCGCGATGCTGCCGAATCCTAAAAATATTGTTGAAAAGAAATAAAACTGGAGAATAAATTAAGTAGAGAGCAGTGGGCATGTACCAAAGGTGGTGAAAACGGAGTGAGCAATGACGTCTTGAATACAGGAGTATAAAGATTACTCAAACATGCATGACTCACACTAAATACTAGATAGGCTGGTGCCACCTAGTGCCTTTGCTCAATTTCATTTCTCTTCAGCAACTAGGTCAGGAATCAGAATACACTAGATGGTTTGTAAGAACCCTGGAAGTTCGAGTTCGGGAACCAGCCAATCAGCGAAAAGCCATACATTCTGTGTTAGCAACAATTCCTGAGATCGAGGATTTAAAGCCAGAACAAAGAGAATGTTTGGTGAATTTTATCAAGGGCAAAGACGTTCTTCCTACAGGATTTGGGAAAAACTTAATATACCCATTAGCTCCGTTAGTGGCGCATTACATACGTGGGGCGCCAGTGGCAAAAAACTGTTGTTGTGTCCTTAGGCAAGACACTTCACCCACATTGCCTAGTATGAAAGTGGTGCGTTTGTGAGTGATGGTGGTGGTCGGAGGGGCTGACGGCGCAGATTGGCAGCCTCGCTTCCATCAGTCTGCCCCGGGGCAGCTGTGGCTACAGTAGTAGCTTACCACAACTGAGTGTGGAGTGACTGAATAATGAACTGTAAAGCCCCTTGGGTATCTTGAAAGGCGCTATATAAATGTAATCAATCAATCAGTCAGTCATGACCAAATAGCAGCAGTTGGTTTAATTAAAACAGTACCCACCTACCGGGTGGTCAGACGATTTTCTACAAAGTGAAACCGTCTGATGAATCAGGCCAACTAAATTCAACTTTGAGAGGGTAAATGAGAAGGGGAGACAATAATAACATGGTTAAAGGCTCTAAAAAGCTTTTTAAAAAACCCAAAAAACTCTAACTCCAAACATATTTTCTAAGTCCCAGCTGTAAAGTAAAGTACAGCACTGATGATGGTGGTTGACGTCAATAAC